TTGTATTAATATTATTTGATTTTTGCGTGTCATCTTTGCGCAGGGGCCATGCTAATCTGCGCGGCCAATTTCGGCCGCGCGATCTCGACGATCCCGCGGCTGAAAGTGACCGCGCTCGGACATGCTGGGCTGCTCCAAAAAGGAGCTAGCACCAGTAGTTGCATCATATCAGACTCGATCCCGGTATTAGTCGGGTGACAGTTTGGCATGTTTCCTACTGGGCTAGCTCCTTTTTACGCGAGCTAAGCTCGCAACTCTTCTATTTGAAGAGCTGCCCTCAGTAGGATTCCTTGCTGTGGCTTAGGGAAGGCTCAGTCTGCCGCACTTTGCCAACGGCTGCGCCGCTGTCGACCCGGTGCCGTCCCGGCCCGGCGGCTCGTGGCTCAGCAGCCTATAGCCAGCCGCCATGGCACCAGGCCCTTCGTGCGAAGCAACCCCCGCGGCTAAAAAAACAACCTTCTTTGCGTTGCGGCCTTGTTCCCAGCACGGCCGCCCTTTTTTGAGCCTATCCCGGCCCTGAATCACGCGGCTGCTAAGCCGCGCGACATTATTTTGGGTAGAATAGGTTTAATTTTAACATTCCCTTATCCGCACATTCCTGCGGCTTCGACAAAAACGAAGCATTTACGTTCATATTCGTTACCCCCGAAAGCCACACGCGTCCGGACTAAAGTCTGAAAACTTTTTGTCTCTCAGTCATAGGTCAGGTCTGAATAAACGTTTTGGCAAACATTAGTCTCATCAAGTCCTTTAATTTAACGAAAAGGTCAGACAACGTCCGACGTTGAAAAACCCTGGCAAATACCCTTGTCAGGGTTTTTGCCCCGACAACGTCATCTACCTTGGACATCGGTTGTCTGCTGCAGGCCTAGAGCCCGAGGCAACCAAAGTTGAGGTCATCCGCAAATGGCCTCAACCGGCAAATGTCCGCGAGTTGCGTTCTTTTCTTGGTTTTGCGTCATACTACCGTAAGTTTGTACCGAAATCATCTATCATTGCCCGACCGCTGTCCAGATTGACCAGCAAGAACGTGTCCTACACATGGGATGGGGAATGCGCAACAACCTTCCAAGCATTGAATAAGGCTTTGGCAAGTCATCCGGTGCTCCGCATTGCAGATCCCCAACTTACAGTTGTAGTAACTACGGATGCAATTTTGTATGGGATTGGTGCAGTGTTGTAACAAGATGACGGCGACGACTTACGTCCGCTCGAATTCTACAGCAAATGTATGCCAGTCACAAGGTAGTTGCCTCCACTTACATGCGAGAACTCTATGCCTTAAGAGAGACACAGATCATTGGAAGCACTACCTCTTGGGTCACCATTTCAAAGTGTTCTCAGACCATGAGACTTTGAAATGGATTCATACACAGAATAATCCATCAACTACATTGACCCGCTGACTGCATGAGATTGTTGTGTATGATTTCGAACTTAGGCACAAGAAAGGCTGTTAAAATCGCGTTGCGGATGTTTTGTCTCGCCACCCTAAGTACATGACTTGTCTTGTGGGTTCCTACGATGTCCGTAAGAATTTGAAGGAGGAACTCATCAAGTATACTGCCAAGGACCCGGAACTCAGTCCCATACTTGAGCAGATCCAGGCTGACCCTAGCAGCCAACCTGATTTCCATTAGTGTAAAGGATTACTCTTCCGACGTTACGGGAAGTACGACCGTCTGTGTGTGCCCAACCATGAGCCTACCCGTACTCACTTCTTGGACTCGGCTCATGGTCGGAGTGGACGTTTCGGTTTTGAAAAGACATACGGAAGTCTATTGCAAAAAATTGTATGGCCTGGGATGAAAGAAATGGCATGAAAGTTTGTGGCTGAGTGTGAAGTTTGTCAACGTATCAAACCGTCCCGGCAAAAGCCCTATGGGCTGCTGCATCCTCTTCCTATTCGTGATGGCCCGGGTGAGTCTCTTTCCATCGACTTCACGGACATGGGAAAGAAGAGCAGGAATGGATACTCACAAGTAATGGTGATCATTGACCGCTTCTCTAAGTTTCTGAATTTGATTCCATTACCACCTCACGCCTCAACTGACCTTGTGATCAAGGAGTTTCACAAAAGGTACATTCTGCAATGTGGGCCCCCGAAAACTCTTGTGAGTGACCGGGACACTAGGTTCATAACTGCAGATTGGAAGGACTTCACCTCCCAGATCTACGACATCAAACTCAAGATGACGTGTGGCCGACATCCCGAAGCCAATGGACTGGCCGAGGAGGTCAACCAGACTGTGATCCAACTTCTCCGAGCTCTAATTGTGCCTGATCAGAACTCTTGGGATGAGGAATTGTCGATTGTGCAAGGACTGTACAACAACTCCATATGCCCCTCCACCGGGATGACACCTAACCGGTTGCCCCTCGGGTGGCAAATTCGCAATCCCCTATCCTATTTGTTTCCTGACCATCCACCTGGCCTAACGCCTGGCCAACCAGGCTACAGTGCTAAGTTTGATCGCTTGCTCAAAGTTGCTGTCGCAGCTATGGAAAGGTGACGCAGTGCCATGATTAAGCATGCTAACAAAAAGCGCCAGCCTGCACCTTTCACGGTTGGGAAGTTATGTCTGGGTCAAAATGTCTGAGTTTTCTGAAGAAGAAGTTGTATCACGAAGCTTCTTCCTCAGTATTACGTTCCGTGGAAGGTGCTGAACCAAGTAGGGGAACATTCATTTGGTCCTTCTTACACGGTCGACATGCCTATTCATCTGCGCACGTACCCAGTCTTTCGCGTGTCAAAGTTGTTTCCGTACGAACCACCCGAAACTTTTTTGTATCGAGAATCGATGATCCCTCACGTAATCAATGGCGGCCATGAGATTGATAGAATTGTCGAGCACAGTGGAAAGGGGAGAAACAGACAGTATAAAGTCCATTTTTTGTACCACCCGTTGAATGACTTTTATTGGATCGCTAAGAAAGACTTACTGCAGAGTGCCCCGTGAGTCGTCAACGCATATGAACGACTGATTAACTCCGAACAGCAACCTAAATTCACTGCTACCCTCACTCCTACGGAACATACCCGATCTCTCTTTGCTATTTACGCTTATGATGCATTATGCAAGGACTCTGATTGAGTTACTCGCTCGAAGGGACCTCGCTCTTGAGGGGGCAGTAGTGTAATGACCCGCCATAACACAGACTGAGAACACTGCTGATTTCTGAAGTTCTGTCGAGGGAATGGATGCCTTGCTGAGATTCCCGCATTCTGCTGTGTTTTCTAAGTCTGTATGTGTGCGTGCCTGTTGACTTGTGTGCCTGTCTGAGTGCTTGTTGGCATGAGTGTGTGTGTGACCCGCAAGGGTACTTGCTTGTTTGGCAGGCCCGTAGGGCCGGTACTTACCTGTGGCTGTGGCATTGAGGGCTGCAGCAGGGGAAAACACTCAAGTGGCGGAGGCAGAGGCCCGCGACACTTAGAGCAGCGGAAAAACACTCAAGTAGCAGGTAGGCCGGTACCGCACCCAGTAGCAGTAGATGTGCCGGGTACTTGAGGCCGAGCAGAAGAAGACAGTTGCCATTTTTAGAGGCCCGATAGCGGTAGGCTAGGTCTAGGCCGGTACCAGTCCATCCAGTCTGAGTCTAGAGCCTGTACGGGGAATATCAGAGTCTGCAATGATGTTTCCCTCCGAAAGGGAGGAGGTACCGGTTGCTTGGGAGGCTGAGCGGCCSRMWG